AACTTATTTAAATGTATAAAGGTCTTAAATTAGTGCACTTGTTTAGTATAAGCTTGGTGGGGTAGGTGGGACCAGGTGCCAAATTTCCCCATGAAGCAGCCAAACATTTAAAATGTAACTATAGGGAGGCAGCATGTGCCCAAGAAGCTACTGCAATCTCCCAATTTTTGCTCAAGCTGCAAAGCTGCTGGTGTCTGCTTTCCAGGTACAGCTTAAATACTAACCAAATCTGAAAGAGCACTGGACAAAGATGGGTGTGTGTGATTAAAATTTGCAGATTATTTTTAATCCCTGTATTCTCACTGTAACACCGAAGATGCTTAGTTTTTGGCATTTGAACCACTGTCATCTGAACTTGTCACATTAAATTAATATAAAACGTACTTTCTGCCATCCTGCCACTTTTTGTTTTTGTTTTTTAGAAATAACATGCATGCTAGCTGCACTGCAGTGAACTTGCTGTGAGGTTTCTACCTAAATGTATTGACACCCAGGGATTCAGGCTGTTTAAACGTAACTTGAATTCCTATTGAGTTAATTACTTTAGATAGGACAAACGAATATAAGTTACATCTTGTAAGTTAGGATTTCTATTAGTTGGATAAGAGGCTGAAGAAAATGGATTCTCACACTCTGCACTTCTGGGAGATATGCTGAAATTTGTATCTAAGGACTTTCTGTCTTGCATTTTATCTAGCCATACAATCATGAGAAAATCTGAAGCCACTTGAAAATACACAAATATACACACACACTGAGCAATGGTTTGGTTTTTTTGGGGGTTTTTTTGTTTTTGGACACTGGTAGTTTGGCAAAGAACCCACTTTACATTCATCTTTAGATACTTTACCAGCATCCTTTGCAAAACACAACTTGTTTATATTTTTGTTCAAAACAGTTTGACAAGTGAAGGTGATTCCTAAAGGGCTACTAGCCTACTAGCTACTAGCCAGCATCTGACCTTTCACTTGATCCACTGTTCAATAAAACCTTATTACAAATAGTCTCAGTGGAA